CGGAGGTCGGGTCGTCGGACGGAGGCTGGAACTGCGGCGGGCTGAGGCGTTCGATGCTGCCGTCCTTGAACAGCCTGAAGAACGGCGACATGTCGACGGCGATTTCTTTGGGGGCTGAGGCCATGGTTAAATGTTTGTGTTGGAGATAGAAATGTTTTTTGAAATAATATTTTTTAATTGTGTGAGGGTATTATTTTCCAAGTCAGGTGCATTTATATATATAGTTTGGGAAAATGCTACGGTCTCTTACGGTACCATCCGGTCGGGTGTTTTAACTGTTGGATTAACGTGTAATTAGATAAAATAGAGCATTCAACGGTTAAAAAACCCGACGAGATGATGCCGTAACGGAACTGTAGCATTTCTCTATAGTTTGTTGGGGCCAACATTTGAGTGATGCTTATTTTTCATGGTGTGCTGTGGAGTGACAGAGAATTTTGTTATCTAATAATGGAAATAAATAAATAAATAATAGTAAATGAAAATATATTCAGTTCCTCAAAGTTAGGTGACCAAATCAACCAAGCTAGTGAACAATGGGCCCTATTCAAATGCCCAACTCCTTTTATTATCATGCCTTATCCTCTTCATATAAGAAATAGAATTAGTCTATTAAAAAATGTCTCCCAACCCAATTAAAGGTGGACATGGTCTAACTTAGGTGGCAATAAAAAAAAAGAATAAGTCCACACTTGGGTCTATTTTGGACCCGAGTACAAACTCAAGCACTCATTATTTATTCTTCATTTAAATTTTCTTTAAATCAGTGAAACATATTAGAACATTTTTATTGGTTGACATGTATGCTAGACCTATTATTTTATTTTTGCATTGAATAACTTTTGAGTTTTTTTACTTGGGTTTGTCCATGTCATTTAAGACTTAAGTCTATTTATATGTCACATATGTAAAATTAGACTCAATGAATTGTGGGTGCTCTTAGAAACTAATAAAGTGTCAATATAAAGGTCAAAATTAGAACCTATAGAATTAGGAACTAGCAAATAAGTCACATGTCGGAAGTCTTATAACATAAGAGACTTAGATCTAAGTTTTGTAATGTATGTATAATCATATCATCTGTAGCCCTTTACTCTTCTTTAGTGTAGAGATTAGTTTACTCTAGAATACAGTAAGCAAAGACTGGGTCATATGTTCCCTAATAATTGAAATTTTATTTATTATGTTGCTCTAATTTAAATTTATAATATTATTTATTTATTAAAAAATGAACTAAGAATTAATATATTTTTGAAAATATAATATTTTCAACGATTCTTTGAAATTTTTTGAAAATAATTTTAACGATTCTTCTACGTCATTGTTTTTCTTCTAATCCTTTGATTTGAGACACCAACCTGGACCGGCTTGGATGATCAGTTGGGACGTCCAACCTTGGACCCTTTTCCCTCACACCATTTCCCTCAGGTCGGCCAGTGTTCATGGGGTTATCGGGATATCGAACAGTCCACAAAATGCCATCGGGCGCTAATATTGAGATTGGATTATCTAAATTCCCTAATGTTTTGTCGTCGCTTTTGGGCTGGTCATCGCGTCTGGGAATCCAACCTGGTCGTTGGTTACACGAATCCAACTCGAAGCCCTTTTCCCGCGATTAATTCTGATTCTCTCTTAAACATGTTTGAGGTGTTAATTTTCGCAGTTTTTTCAACTCGGATGTCAATAATATATATATATATATATGAGGAAATGTTTTCAAAATAAATGTATGTTCAAAATATTATGAATAAGAGTACAGAGTACTCCAAATAGTTTGTTGACTTGAAAATGAAAGTTAATCATCGAAAACATCTGACAAGAAACTTCTGAAATGGACTAAAGCGAGATTAAGAGCAGTAGCACAAATCAATACAGAATGCAAACACCTTCGAACCGGTTCTCGACCACCTGGAAAAAGCTCCGTTTCGGGAGGAGTTCCCGGCACAAAATCTCCTATGCTCGAGTCCATTCACAAAATAACAAGTGCTCGAGTTTTTATTGTTTCTGTTAGAACATTGGTTTGGCATCATGTCCGACAAACCTAAGTGTTTTCTAGAAGATTTCTTGTTAAGCAAGCAAAATAAATTAAAGGGAAGTTTTTCTATTTATTTACTTATGATTTAATTAAGTTCCTAATATTTATTATTAATAATATATGGTATATATTTATTGTAGTATGTATTATGGAATCCTAATCCTTTAGGAGAAGGATTACATAATATATATCCTATATATTTACTTACCATGTATGCCACATGCCATAATCAGTTCTCTTTTGCTTGTAGGACAAGGAATAGGTGGCAAGGACTATGAAAGGATGAGCTTTCCATACAAGAAGAGTTCTGGACGTTCATGAGAAGATCTAAGGAGGATTTGGAAAGATTCACCACAAGATCTTTGAAGATTTGGAAGATCGGCTATTTTTGGAAAGTCATGTTCTTACCAGATTCTTGGAACGCGTTTTTCCATTGGAAGCTCAATTCTGAAGATCTCCAAATCACATGCACGATTTCTACATCAAGGAAAATTACCTTACATGAAGGATTTCGTCCAAATCAAAAAGGAATCAATTGAGAAGGAAATTGACTCCTAAAAGGTAAAGGAAGAACTGTGAAGACTCCTTACCTTAAGGAGGTTGTATATA